AAAAAAAAAAAAAAAAAAAAAAAAAAAAAAAAAAAAAAAACAACAACAACAAAAAATATATAAAACAACAAAATATTAGAAGAAATCGAAAGAGAATTTATAAAATAAATTTGAAATTAAGTTTTTAACTATGACATAAAAATCCAGAAGACACACAAGAAAAAAAAATGCATAAAATATTTTTGTGAGGAAAAACCTACCATAAACAAAGTCAAAAGTTGTATGAGATCTCCATACTGGCCAGATACCCCCCCCCCAAAAAAAAATTATATTACATATCAGGGAAAAAAAACTTGCATCTTATATCACTGAGGGTCAATTTCCCTAACACAAAAAAACCTTCTGAAATCAGTAAGAAAATGAACCAATAATATGGACAAAGTATATGAATAGACAGTTTTTAGGGTAGTGGCTATTTAACATAGGAAAAGGCTGAAAACACCTTAAGGGTTCATTAAGAGAGGCCTGGTTTAATTAAAGGTACAAAATGCAGCAGGATATACTGTCAGTTTGAAGAAGCAAGACATACAACAGAGCATGTAATATTCTATAAAAAAGAAAAATATATTCATCTTTGCTCATATTAATATGTGCATAAGATCTCTAGAAGGATACAGAAGAAACTTCTAACAGCAGTTATCTCTAGGGAAGGTAATCAATCGGGTGGCTGGGGCAAGGCTTTATAGGAGATTCCATATTCCTACCCTTTTGTGCTTTTTAAATTTTGAGGATATAAATACCCTAGTTTTTCATAAAATAAATATTAAAAGATATTTTTAAAAATAACATGGTCAACTAAATATCAACTGGAGGGTGTCAATGTGATACAGGTACCCATGGGGAACTAACTCTTAACTGCCAAGAGGCAGCCCATATGAGTTATATGGATGCTGGGGGGTAAGGAGAAAGATGGGTCTTTTTAGCCAGCAAGGAATGGCAAGATGCTGGGACCAGGGAAGGGAAGAACTCTCATCAGGTTAAGTCAGCAGCAGTGTGGCTTTGAAGAAAGCCCCTAGTGTCAGTGGATTAGTTACATACAAGGGGGTTAAGTAAATAAGTAAATATTTTGAAGATAATGGAAGCCAAGTTTCTCACAATCAGAGAATGGAGGTACAAATATGGATAGGGGGAGGACAGAATAAATCATTCTGGTGGTGTTAGAATGAATTAGATGTACTGTAATGAACTCACGGTTTATAATATACAAGTATTTATGGACAGATATAAAAGTAGATATAAATGTGTGTGTAAGTGTATATACACACATATATTTTGTAGCTCCATCTGTACACTGAGAGGGCCTAAAAGCAATAACATCCCAGTAGCAATGAGCATATCTAGCATCTAGATCTTGGTTTCTAAATGCCATTCTCCATTAAAAAGAATAAGGGATTGATTCTTGGAGATATGGCTGCTGTGAAGGCTAGGGCAAGGAAAGTACAGTCATGTGTGGTTATGTTCTGAGAGATGTGTTGTTAGGCAATTTGGTCACTGAGTGAACATCATAGAGTGTACTCACACAAACCTAGATGGTATAGCCTACTACATGCCTAGGTTATATGGTATAGCCTATTGCTCTAACCACCATTAGTTAGAGCAATTGGTACAAGAAAGGAAGTATGCAAAGAATGATGGTGATACAAACCAACTTGAATGAGCTTCTTCTGGCCAAATTTTGGACAATGTGAACAATAAAATAATAATAGTAATAAATTATGATTCACTGAATAAAATTAGAACTCATAAATTTATACTGGTATAAGTAAGTAAATAAGTGGAAAAAGGGGATACTTTACACAAGGCATTACCTTACTGTAGAGTGCCAATTAATAAGTGTAAAAGGAAAAACAGAATCAGAAAATTACCAATTAGCAACCATCACAGTAATATTGAATTCAAGCAAAAACTAAAACAAGTGGATGAAAAAAAATTTAAGCTGATTTATTTTATTTATTTTAAAAATTCACTCTTTTTGGTATACAATTCTATGAATTTAGACAAATAAATAGTCACGAAACCACCACAACCAAGGTATAGAACCCTCCAAATGTTTACTTATGCTGCCTCTTTATAACCCATTCCTCCTTCCATCTCTAACCCCTGGTAACCACTGACGTTTCCTGTCCCTGTTAAGGAACTCGTAGCAACCACTTGATCTGCTTTCTGTTTCTCTGTCATTTTAAGAATGCCACATAAATGAAATAATACAGCATGTACTGGTTTGAATCTGGCTTCTTTCACTTACCACAATGCATTAGAGATTCATTCATCCTGTTGCATCCAACATGGTTTACTCTTTTTATTGCTGAGTACTATTTCATTGTACAGATGGATGTAACAGTTTATTCGCCAGCTGAAGAACATGTGGGCTGCTTCTAGTTTTTAGTGATTTGAGTCCACTATAAATATTTGTGTACAGGTTTTTATATGAACACTAAGTTTTTATATTTCTTGGGTAAAAATCATACTATTGGATCTATATGGTATATATATTAATAGTGGGTAAAATTTTGGTGAGGAAAGTGTATTTATATAACCTCAAAGTGTTTCTTCACAAAATATTTACTATGAAAGACTAAGAAAAGCTAAAGGAGAATAAAGAGCATGATGACTAGATGCCATGCATAATCTGGATCTGGACATATAAAAAATATTGGAACAATCAGTGAAATTTGAATGGGTTCTGTCGATTAGATGGCAATATTATATCAGTGTTAATTTCTTGATATTGATGATATACTGTGGGTATGTAGGAGAATGAATATCCATGTTTTTCAAAAATAGAAATGAAATTATTTTGGGGTAATGGTCTTCATGTCTGCAACTTACCCTTAAATGGACCAAAGTAACACCACATACACATACAGAAAACATACATAGAAAGATAAAGCAAATATGGTGGAATGTCAACAACTAAGGAATCTGGATAAAGGGTACTTTGAACTATTCTTGCAACTTTTCTGTAAGTTTGAAATGACTTCAAAACAAAATATTTTTTAAAAAGATATGTGTAACTAAAGGACCCAGTTCCTAAAATACTCAAACAAATATTTTACTTAAAGTTGTGCAGCTATGGCCACTGTGCATGTTTTACCGTGAAAAGTTTGTGAATGATTTGTATCTAATTCATATCATTATTATCTATGAGCAAAAGCCACATAGAGCATAATTAAGAAACGGCTTATCTTACTTACCTGCCCAATGATTTAGAAACGGTTTTCACAGTAACAGTGAACAACAATGGTTAAGTGATAGAATAAAATTCAACATCTCAGAGTGTGCTAAAAGAGAGTTGAATGGGATGAATCTTTTAACACCCAAAGGTCTTCTGTTTCTATTTATAGAAAACGTACTCAAAGCTCTAGACTTCATATATACTTAAGTATTTGAACACATTAAAATTTTTTGGCAGATTTACTATTCACCGTTTACATTTGAGATGTAAAGGAAACCTATGAGTAATATACCAGTAATTAGCATGTTAACATTTACTTTGAAAAAAGTTAATACTTTTATTATCTAAGGATTTATTCAGCTTGTTTAAGACACGAAACAAAGCATTGCAAATCTAGTTGTAAACAAAACCATAACAGGATAATAAAGCATTAATTATCTCTGGTAGCAATGCAAATTCTATGCATAAGTTTGATTAACCCAATAAAAAAGACCCAAAGGATAAACACAGTATTGGTTTGTAGCAATATTTTAAAAAATCAATATGCCAAACATTCAAAATGAAATTACCGATGTAAAAACAGGTAAAAAATTTGAGTCAAATAAAAGCAGTTTGGTGGAAAATCTCAAGACTGCCTTTTTATCTAGCAGCACAAAACGGTCTGATAATTACCACTAAATAATGACGCTTAATATGTTTAGGCCCTTAATGAATATGCAACACCACTAATTATATCATTTGTATATTATTTCTGAATGACTAAAATAAGTACTTTATCTTAAAAGAAAAACTCAGTTTCCAACCTCTGACTATCAAACTCATTCTTTTATTATCCTAACTGGAAAAGAGTTTCAGGAAGTTCTAACAAATAAAAAAATACTATCAAAATTCATCCCCTCACTTCAGTTTTTTAAGAGGAGGGATTAGTCACCAAACTTTAAAATCATGTTAATTTTTTATTTACAAAATAAGAGCCAAGACTTTGTATTCAGTGTCAATTTGTACATTTAAGTTCAACTTTTTTTTTTTTTTTTTAGTAAAGTAAGAAATTTTGTAAGAAATTTTTAGTAAAGTAAGCCAATTTCATCATGCAGACGAGAATCCCACCTAATAAAATCCTGCCAGAGTGGAATAAGCAAGTCGGATAAGCATATACCAAATAAATCTCTCACAAGTACCTTTTTTATCTGTATTTCTTCGCAGTTTATCCACCTGCGAAATAGCTTCTTCCCAGCAATTGTTGCTTGCTTGAACATGGGGCTGAATCAACTTTAATTTTTGTTCTAGGATTTGATAAGCCTCTGATACTAGTTCTTGTGTTTCTTTGGCACAAACAAGCTTTTCAAGTTCATCCTCAAGAATTATTACCCTGCGTAATAAAAAAAAAAGCAGATTTCTAGAATATAAAATGTAAAATTTATAATTTATAAGGCTTATTAAAAAATAAGCTTATAAGATGAAGAACATTCTGAAAGTAGCTGGCAGTGACCGTTGCACAACTATGCATTCTGTACTTAATGCCACTGAAGTGTACACTTAAAAATGGTTAAATGATAAACCTTATTATGTACATTTTATCACAGTTTTTCTAAGAGCTCATAGAGTATCATATACATATTCAACAAATATTTTTTGCCTACATACTAGGCATTTTATGAGCTAAAAGGATAAATTAAACCTATTTCCTACTTACAAGAAATTTATAACTGAACCAGGGAAATTATACATATATGTAAATAACATACAATATCACAAAATGTTAAAACTAAAATTTTATTTCCATTTTGCAGATGAGGAATTAGGTCCAGAGAGTTGAATAAACTTGTCCAGAGTCACAAAGCTGGTAGGCTAAAGCTGGGATGAATCTAGGCACAAAAAGATAATACCAAAAAGAGACAGAGATAGTCTTATGAGAATTCAGCAAAGGGAAAATTATTACCAGCTATGGAAGACCAGGGAACAGCTAAGGAAGAAGTACTTTTGAGGTAGCATTGAGGGATGGATAAACTTTGAGCCTGTATAAAAGGTGAGGAAGGTTGTTCTAGATGGAACATGGGAAAAGGCATTTATAGTTTGCTGGGACTGAAGGAAAGGAGTAAGAAATAAAGATAGAAATGCAGAATGTAGTCAGGTTATGGCAACCCTTTTCTAAAGAATGTTTTGTGCAGACTTCAATCTAAGCTGCTATGCTCCAAAACCAGTGAAGATTTTCAGTTAAGTGACAAAACAAATGCAGGTTGAGTATCCCTTATCCAAAATGCTTGAGACCAGAAGTGTGTTTCAGATTTTGAATTTTTTCAGATTTTGGAACATTTGCAGAATGTGTATATACCAGTCAGAATACATATATACCAGTCGAGCATTCCTAATCTGAAATCCAATATGCTCCAATAAGCATTTCCTTTGAGCATCATGTCTGTGCCCCCAAAGTTTCAGATTTTGGAGCACTTTGGATTTTGAATTTTTGGATTAGGGATGCTCAACCTGTATATGCCTCAGTAACACTAAACTGGCAGTGCGCACTCTGGACATGGGGAGAACAGTTAGAGGTTGATGCCCTAGTGTAAGCAGGAAACAATATGGTCCTGCACTGAGCACTGAGAGTGGGAAGAGCAGCAAAGCGGGCAAATGAGAGAGAGGAGTGAAACGCAAAAAGAGGATTTTGAAATATGAAACACAAAACATTTTTTTAGATAACACCTTTAAAAGTGGAAGCACTATTGAGCAAATCAGATATGATAGTTTGTGACTGAAACACTTTCTAGTTAAAATACTTAGAGAACTGACAGATAGTAGCATATATAAAATATTCCACTTTAAAATAGGACACATACTTCCCATGAATAATCCACGATCCCTGTTCAAGGTATAAAGCTCCTCTTTTCATGTTCATGTCCACCCAATGTAGTACTCCTCCTTCCCCGAGCCATCTTCCCTCACTCTAATGCATTCCAGTATGTCCTGTATGAATTCTTTGGAGACTCTGGCTTTGCCTAATACTACCTTTCCACTGAAATCTTATTTTCCTCTGATGATGATCCAATCTTTGCCACCGACTCAAGTGGAGATGGCCTATCACCCAAGTTTTCTGTAGGAGACAGGGCTAAAAGTCAGGTTAGCATTCACCTGCTTTCTTAGAACAGCAGATATAGAGCACTGGAACACACCCACCTCACACTTTATTTTCCCTATGCCCTCACCTTTATATCAGCCTTATATATACCTATCCCAGGCCCTCAGCTGATGGGTAAAAACTTATCTTCTCAAAATGTCTTTCCGACCATAAGCTCCTACTCTTGTACATCTTATCCTCCCTCATTCCAGTTAACATAGCCTTTTGATTTTACTGATATGTCAAGTCCATTTGATCCATTTTCTTATTTTATAAATTAATTGCTGCCCTCCCCCTCCCACTTCTTGCCTGGTATCCAGGATCAAGTACAGCAACAACTTTACCAGCTCACTAAATTACCAACACAATGTGAACCCAATCATTCATTTGATCCAGTCCTACATTATGAATATTTAACTGTTAGAAAAAATTTTCATGGGGGGCCGGCCCGTGGCTCACTTGGGAGAGCGTGGTGCTGACAACACCAAGACAAGGGTTAAAATCCCATTACTGGTCATCTTTAAAAAAAAAAAAAAAAAAATTCACAGGAAATGACTGTATTCATATTATAATGCCTCGATTCAATTTTTAAACTTGAAAATTTCCATGTAGAGAACTACATGAAAATAGTATTCTCTATTGATAAAGGTATATGAAAGTGGGATATAAAAATTTGGAAATTAAGGCAGAGTACCAATAATACCATGCAAAGTAGATCAACAAATATAAACTGTAGATAGTACATTTTACTACTTGCCTGGATTGAGTGTACCCCTCAAAACTTGACCCCCGCTGTAACAGTGTTAAAAGGGTGGGAAACCCTACTATGGTAATTAAAAGGTGGGACCACGAAGAGGTGACTAGATTGCAGGACCGTGCCATAGTGAATGGATTAATAATGGTGGTCAGAGGCGTGGTTCTGAGGGCTTTAAAAGGAGAGTGAATGAGGAGGTTAGTTTCTCTCTGTTCCACCACTTTCTGCCATGTGAGACCGCTGCGTTGCCTCAAAGCCATGACCAAGACTCTCACCAGATGTGTTCTATGGACCTTGGACTTGCAGCCTCTAAAACTGTAAACAATAAATTTCATTTTCTTACAAATTACCCAATTCCATGTATTTTGTTATAAACAGAAATGGACTAATACACTACTCAACTGGAGCCAAAAAGCTTGTCTTGTGTTACAGAAAAATTTCTAGATCTGCTGTAATTTCTTTAGAAAAATAGCAATATAGTATTCTTCATCTACACAACAATGCCTCTTGTTATGAACTGTTGTGCTGGAAGATATTTCTCTCAGACTGCAGGTTTTAGTTTAAGAGCCCTACCTTAAGAGGGTTAAAAACAGCTCATTCTTCATAACCTTCTCCATTTCAGCTCTCAAAAAGAATGAACAACCTCTGAGTTTGTCCTATCTTTCTAGGTTTTCTGTTGAAATCAGGAAAAGTCAAAACTATAAATTACAGTACTTAACAAATCACTTGTTTCTCTGCTACACTTGTAGCTATAAACCATCCTTCACGCTGCATGTCTCAATTTGGTTTCTTCTTTCTAGCTAGGACATGAGCCAACAACCACAATGGAACAAGAATGAAGCTTGCTAATCACAGGGACATTTCCTTATATGGCTTCTAAACTTACTCATTCAGTAATGCTTTCAGATGGAGCTGCAAGCTGCGTACCGCTGTGTGAACATTACTCAGTTCTCTTGATTTCTGTTGAGTTTTGGATAAGCGCTGTGGTACTGACTGGTGCTGAGTTTCAAAGTACCTATAGAACTCATAGCTGCGCTTAAGCTCTTCCAAACAGGCAGCATGCGCATGAGGTAGACCTTGAGTCACATCAGACAAAATACGATGAGACAAAAGTGTTGGAGTAAGCAAGAGCCTAGGAGGTGAATTGGCTGTAGAAAGTAACAGGGCTAACCGTCTGAAGAACTCTGAACTCTGTGCCACCCAGAGTTGGAACAAAACCTATGGGAAAAAAGAAAAGAAAGAAAGAAAGAAAAAAGGACTAGATCAATAAAAATACTGGCCAACATTTAAAACAAACCAAAAATTTGTTTATCTTAACTTCTGGTTTAAGTTCTTCACTTTATCCTAAATAATGAGTATAGCTGAGCTTGAACTAACTCTAAAATTAGCCAAGAATGTTTTATCAAATTGTGTAGTCACAGCATATGGGAATACGTATTTGTAAACCTGTAAAGATATCTTTCACTAGATCTTTTTATAAAGCTTTACTATTGTTCCTTTCAGAGAGAAGTTGCTTTTAAAATTTAACTTACAAAATCCATTTTAAAACTATGTGGGCACAATGGCAACTATACAAGGTGGCAACACACTTTTGAACATTACAGGGGTTCTTGGCAGTTTATAAACTCTATAGACAAGGCTTCAGAGCTTGATAATCTTGGTAATAACCCAACTCAAATACTGAGTTTGGTTATAGATTAGTTATAGGTCAAAATAAAGCAAATATAAAAACACTCTTATAGTCTGATTCAGAAAACAGTATGGGTGAGCAAAAAGGATCCAGCCATAATCAAAATCACTGGGTGGGGAGACAACAACAGAGAACAAGTCTCACATTTTAGAGCAGCTCAGATAAGACGAAATTTGAAAATTCAGCTAACATTTATTAATTGCTTACTCTACACCAGGCACCAGACTTGCAAACATTTAATGCTTTGGAGGTAAGTATTGTGATTATTAAATTTTAATAAACATAGAAGCAATAATTTGCTCAAGACATCAGTAGTCAAGTGATGAAGCTAGAGTTAAACCTAGAAAAGTCTGACTCTATGGGGTCCTTTTTCTCTTTGCTGCCTATACTTAAGCTAGACTACAATTCAGGATTTAACAAACTTTTAAAAACGATACACAGAGAACATAAAGAAATAGGGAAATCATGAGACACTTTGATAAATAAACAAAAAATAATTTAAAAATGAAATGAAGAAATACTGTAATTCTTTCTTCAACTCCTTTTTAAAGAATAATAGCTATCTCCATTTTTGGTACCCACTATATGACAAACCTTGTTCTAGGTATTTTTTATGTCTTTTTATTTAATCTAACACGTTATAAGGTAGATATGATAACCTCTTTTTATAAGTGAGATAAGTTCAAAGAATAACTTATTTAAGATCAAATGGTTAATCAAAGTCAGGGATAAAATATAAATCCAGGTCTGCTCAATTTTCTTCATTAAGAATCTCTTAAATTGTCCTTTGAAAAAAACTTTATTTCAACTATAGAGTTAAGCATGGTCATGATATTGAATTTGGAAGTATGAAATTACCTACAGTCCCACCTCCCCACAGAGTAGCTATTAGTATCCTGGTATTTTCTCCTATTCATTTTTAAAAAACAGAGTTGTGGGGCTGGCTGGTTAGCTCAGTTGGTTAGAGAACGGTATTATAACAGTAAGGTCAAGAGTTTGAATTCCTTTACCAACCAGCCACCAAAAAATAAAAAATAAAAAAAACAGCAGAGTTGTGATCATACTGCATGTATATACTTATGTGTCCTGATGGTTTTACTGTAAACAAACATTTCTCCAAGTTTTCACAAAATCTTCATAAGCAAGTTGTAGTTGCTACACAGTGGCTCACCATGTGGGTCTACCATGATTTATGCAGCCATTCCTCTCTTGCTGAACATTTAGGCAGAGTTCCATTTTTCACTATTATAAACAGAAAGCTATTAAGCAACTTGGTACATAAAGCTTGACTATATTTAGAATAATTTCCTTAAGAAAGATTTATAGAAGTGGAATTACTGATTCAAAGGACAAATCATTTAAAAGGTTCTTTGTAGGTCAAATTGCATTCTGAAACAAATAACTTTAGAGAACTAAGGAAACCAAGAAAAAAACTATTGCAGTAGCCTAGATAACAGATGATGGTAGCTAGGCCTAGGACAGTGATAGGAGATATGGAAAAGTGGATGGATTTAAAATACATTTTCAAGATAGAAATGACACAAGAATCTGCTAATGGACTGGATATGATGAAGTAAAAATGATGGATAAGAAAGATGTTCAGTCCCCAGTACCACCATTCTCATTTTGATAACACCAAGGTCAAGGACTTGGATCCTAGTACTGGCCAGCCACCAAGAAAACCCCCAAACAACAACAACAACAACAAAAGATCGTGCCCCAGGTTCCTAGTTTAAGTTGTATAGTGCCATTTATTGAGATGGATTTAAATGAGGGTAGGAATAAGTCAAGACAAATTTCAAGTAACAGGAAAGACCAAAAAACAAAGGAGAATTAGAACATTTATGTGGATTAGAAAATTTAAAATATGGTCTCAAAACCAAATGGATCTTGATAAATGCTGTCAACTGCACTTAGATTGATTTTTGTGATAACCAGAGAGTTTTAAAGATTAGAAACAAAAATATCTAAGAGCTTGCTAATTATGAAAAAGGAATTTAAGACATTTAGATTGACTTCTTAAAAATACTACTGGAATCTCACTGCACACACAGATTTTATAACTTGCTTTAACTCATGTTTTTCTGTGTTATTATTTTCTTCAATATTTATCTGCTACTAACTCCAAAGTAGTTCATCAAATGTATGTACCATAAGTCATTATCAATTCCATATTATGAAACTTTTAATTTGTTTCCAATATTTGCTGCTGTAGTAATATCATGAACCTTTGGGTATATCTTTGATTACTTCCTAAGATAAATCTGTGAGAGTAAAATTGTTGAACTAAAGAGTATATGCATTTATGAATATTGGTACTCACTGCTGAAGTAAACCAGTTTATACTTTCACAACTAGTGTGTGAGGTCTCACTGAATCTTCATTTATAATATTAACAACCTTCAATATCCTTGGCAAAAAGGTTAACTTATGACTTTTATTTCTATTTCTTTCATTACTAAGATTGAAAGTGTTAACATATTTATCGGCCATTTGTATTTCTTCTTTTGTGAACTACCAGTTCACATACCTGACATATCTTTTGCAGGTTTTAGACACCTTAGAGCTCTTTATATAGAAAGAATTCAAGCCCTTTGTTATGAATCATTGCAATTATTATTAGCTTGTTTGCATTTAAAATATGCAATATTTAAAGTTTAGTTTTTTATGTAGCCAAATGTATTCTTTTATGTGGCTTTTAATATATGAAAAAAAAATCTTGCTCTAGACAAGAATTTTGGAGATTTTCCAAGGGAAGATGTAGATCTCACTAAGTGCTTTATTTACATTTGTTGAAATAAATGATTAGTCATAAAATCACTCATATTGGTTTCCAATTAAAGTACATTCATTTATCTCCAAACTGTAATTTAAGGCATTTCTTACATTAAGAATTTTAAGTATTTTAACATCAAAATATAAATATCTCCTCATCTGATCCTTATGATGCTCTCAGCTTTGAAAGACAGCACCACAAACATCATTAAGACATTTATGATGACGGTATTCAGCAAACAATGAAGGGAAACAGGTGCACCATTTACGTTCAGAAAGCACAGGCACAATTCAAGTGTATCTACCTTTTCTTCAGCCCTTCCCCTCCACAACTGGATTACCTTCAAAGCAGGCAGGCTGAAGCCATCCGTAAGGTTATGTGCTTCCTCTTCTGAAATCTGCTCTTCACTAAGTCCAAGGCCCAGCTCCTTAAAAGGCACCACACAGATGTAGTTGGTTATATTGTCACTCTCAGAGTTCAGGGGGTAGGTTAAATTAGGTTAAGGCAATAAACAAAGCCTTTTTTTTAGGAAAGCATAAAAGGTAGAATAAAATTGTCCAAAATTACATTTACTAATCTTTTTTTGATCTTTTACAGCAAGAGACTTTGCACCAGTTTTTAAACAGAAATTAAATCTTAAAATCTAACATATTAACATCTCAGTTATCTTATAGGATACTTGTGAATAAAATTTTTATGTCTAAATTATAAAAAGTTCAACCCTTCAAAAGTGTTACAGTGCTAATTTAGTTATTTTTGACATCTACCTTTTGAGCTGTATTGCGTATTTTTTTGTGTGTGTGTGTCTTTTTTACTGACCGGTAACGGGATCGCATGACATCTACCTTTTGAGCTGTATTGCGTATTTTTTTGTGTGTGTGTGTCTTTTTTACTGACAGGTAATATTGAAACTTAACAGATTTTTATGTATTTGCTGTATTTCAGTCTGCCATGGTTATTGTTCCTTTTGATGCTCATATTTTCCCATCTTTGACCTTGGGAGGGCCTTCAGATTGGCTCCTGAGTCCTGACTCTAGTGGTCTTCCTTGCTTTCTGATGTGACAAGATGTTCCAAACTTATATTTTACACTTCCTAACTCCAGTCCTGTAATCAGCTATTAAGGAAGTTGTGGTTCCTTTCTAGGTTGTAAGAGGCGCTCTTTGCTACGTGATTGATTAGTGTCTCTAGGATAGCCTTTCTTTTAAATTCCAATTTTAAATCTGCTGTGGGCTGGGAAACCAGACAACAAAGCTTTAATTCTGAATTAATAAAATGCTTGAGATTTTAGTTCACAAACTTGATGCTCTGTGTGTGTGTATGTGTGTGTGTATACCATTTATGCTCTTTGTATTTTCTGTTAAGATTATCAGAGAGATAAATCTCTGGGTTTTTTTGTTTGTTTGTTTGTTTTTTTGTCTTTTTCCGTGTCCGGCAACGGATCGCAACCCTCAGTGTCGCCCCCGCACCGGACCGGGACCGGCAACGGGACCGCAACCCTCGGCGTTGCCCCCGCGCCTCGCTCAGCCAGTGAGTGGGAACCGGTCTGCATGTGGGATCCGAACCCTCGGGCGGGAGCGCCGCCGCACTTCCGAAGCGGCGCACTATCCAGTGCGCCACCGGGCCGGCCTCTATTCTATCTAAGTTGTTTGGCATAAACTACTGTTTCCTCTGTTCTCTTCCTTATGAACATATATCAATATCAATCAAGAATGATTTTTCTCCTTTGTTTTTATAAAGAATTTTATCCATACAATTTCTGATACTGGACCATCTTTGTATTTCCAGCATATTCTTATTTAGTCACATTATAATAATATTTCGATATGGTGCTAGATTAAATTTATAAATATTCTATTTAAATATTTTGTATTTCCATTTGTGAGATTAGTATATAGTTTTTATTCTTTGCAATGCATCATGTTTTGATAGTTAGATTATTGAAGTATTTTTATAAATAAAATGATATAGGGGAGCTTTCTAACCTTTTCTATATTCTGAAAAAAATTTTTTAATTAATAAAACCATCTGGACTTGGTAATTAAATTTTTTTATTCAATTAGTTTTTGAATGTGTAATATATTCACAGGATTCAAAATTCATGAGATATTAAGGGGTATAATAAAACTGCTTCTCATCTCTTTTGCCTAGCCACCTAGTTCTCCTATCCAAAGGCAAAGGCAATCCCTGTTACCAGTATCTTGTATATCCTTCAAGATATTTTATGCATATATACATAAAAGCAAATCCAAATATAAGTGTGTATATCTGGGTATATGTAGATATATACACACACACATGTACACAAATAAATACACACATATTTATCCCTACATAAATACACAGTCCCTTTCTTGCATGAATGGAAGGGTACTATAAATACTGCTCTGTGCACTTTACTTTTTTTCACTTAATATAATTTGGAGATCATTCCACAGTAGTGCATCAAGAACTCTATCATTGTTTAATAGTTGCATATTTTCCATTGTTTACATATAAACAGGTGTTTTCTTTTTAAAATGGAATATACTTTATCCAATTGAGCTTTTAAATTCTTCCTAAATCGGTTTTGAAGATTTGTATTTTTAGAAGAAATTAACCATTTCCCCCTAAATTTTCAAAGTTGCTGCTACAGAGTTACATATATTATCCCCTTATAAATATTTTAATATCTTCCACATCTATGGTTACCACTGTGTTCTCATTACTCATCTTGTATATTTCTGCTCTTTACTTTGATCATACATAGTATTGTTACTGGTCTTTTCAAAGAAACGGTTGATGAATTCTTTTTTACTTTAATTCCTTAAAGTTTCTTTATGGAGAATATGATGTGGCCTCTGCCTACCTCTGAATCTCATTTCATACTCCAACCCCCAACTTAACTGCGCTCCACTTAAGATGGTCTTCTTTCTATACTCCAATCATGCTAAACTCATTCCTGCCACAAGATCTTTATATCCGCTGGTGCATCTCACTGGAACACTCTTCCCCCAGCTCTTTCTCATTATACAACTCATTTAAATGGCTCTTCAGAGGCTTTTGCCTACCATCCAATCAAAAGCACCATCCCACACAATCACTCTCTATTCTATTCCCCTGGGCTTTTTTTTTTTCCTTTATAACAATTATTATATTTGAAAATATCATCTTTTTATTTATTATTGATTATCTCATTTATGAGAACAAGGATTGTGTCTATCTTGCTCACTGCTAGTTCCTCAGTTTCTAGAAAAGTGACTGGCACAGGGAACTCATACAATCTGCAATCTTTGTTAGGCTATCTCCTCTCATTCCACATTAAACTATACACTCCATGAGGCACTCAGTTTATGCTCAATAAATATTCACCAAATCACTAACTACTTGCAGTCCGCATGCCACTGTCAAATCTCTATTTCTTTCCATATGTTTTTGCTTCCTTCTACCTGGAATGCAGACTCTTAACACCCTCACAGCCAAGTCCTACTAGTTCTTTGAGGGTCAACTCAGGTGTCAACTCTCTAAAAGCCTTCTCTGACCCCATAAGCCAAGTACATTATCCTGCTATGTTGGAAGGCACCCTGGCATTTATATTGTATTATGAATACTGGCTTATCTATTGATCACACTCAAAAGCCTTTGAAAGTGGATATTACATGTTTTTAGTCTTCCTAGCACCTAAGAGAGTAGATGACCTATAGCAGGCAGGCATTCAGGCAGCCAGGGAACAGAATAGACAAGTTCTTGACAAAAATTAAAATGCTTTCTCTGCATTTCCAAAGAGGTAATATAGTACAGTAAATGTACACAGAGAAAGGTTATAAGTTATAAATCCTACAACTTCACCTATTACTAGTTGTGTGACACTGAGCAAGTCACTTAACCTTTATTTTAGTTTTCTTACAAAGCAGAGATGAGAAAACCCAGCTAGGAAGATTTGCATTAAGGATATAATAATACAACATAAAGCATTCTGTAAACTGTAAGCATTATATTTATCAGTGCTACTGTACCCAGCAACATGAAGGTCTTTTTGCCCTCCATTTATTCATAATTTTACTCATCTATGAATCTCTAATAAAATAAAAATCTTATACACCTTTATTTTCTGGTTAATAGAACTAATTTCCTGACTTCAATCTGATTCTAGACCCTCTGTTTTTTTGAAAAGAGAAGGATTTCCTGTTACCAGTTCATAACGATGTCATGACACAAATTTGCCATGTTCAGAAGTTTTTAAAAATGTTAGACCTAGCAAAGCCAGGCTCTTCTGACTATTCTTTGGACCAGTAAAAAAAGGGACTTCAAGTTTTTCCATTGTAAAAATGAGCCACACAAGAACAGAAGAACTTTATTCTTGTCTATTGTCATTCCCACTGGAATGCACTTCCAGTTTTAAAATAGTTCTTATATTTATATAGTTTTAAAATAGAACTTATATTCAAACAGGCAATTGCAGTTTATAGTTAACTTTACAGGATGCAACTCGGGACTCCAGAAACATTGCTTATTCTCATGTATAGACAAAAAAAGGATATTTTTTCAGCATATATAGGGTAGCTAGCCTTGCTCCTTGAAAGTTGGCTCTTACAGTTCTGTAGACAGCTTTCCGAAGACCGATGAGATGCTGACTGGGATGCTGTCCAGCTTTATTAAATGGGCAAGCAGCACTGACCCTGTCAAGCAAACTTGAAAAGTAAAATGTGATACAACTGTACAGGTGTCCTAAAGTTTTTGTTTTCTAAATCCAAAATTCTATTAAACTTAGAAAAAAAAATTCCTTTTTTATGATTTCCATTAGAAAATGATTATCAGTACCCCAACCTAGTTCTCATAAAATAGCCAGTCCTCTGATACATATATAGTCACCAGAAAAAGATAAATCAAAAATTAAAAATATTAAAAAATGAAGGCTTCCTCTGATGTGACGGAACAATCAATTTTAATTGAGATATAATAGAAATATATGAATATTTAAGAATTTGCATCTTTTTTATACAGACACTTTACCTGCTAAAATATACTAAAGTGGAACTACTTTACATTCAGTTTTCAAAACCTATATCTACAGGAAGTATGAAGGACTTAATTATAAACACTTTCACATTCTTAATATACATTTACATAGGTTCATTAATCATATATTTGTTCATTTGTACAGAACAAATTTATATAAAAATAAATTCTGTACATTCATAAAAGTAGGGCAAAATTACTTACCCACCTGCTGCCACTGGCACTTACCTACTCAAAATGAAGTAGGGAACGCAGAAAGGCAACAGGACCAGTGGCCAACAGGGGAATGCAAGTAGAAAGGCAAAGTAAGGGTTACCATGTAGTAGCATAGCTACTCTAAAAACTGTTCAAGAGGAAGCACATTTCATGGCACTTTCCACAAGATTAATGGGATGTACCTATTTGTAACAATGACACATAATGCATTATGTTTTGTAATGGAAAGTATGCATGATTAAATACTACATAGTTATTGGATAATAGTTTTTTTCACTTAACCAGTAACCTCTCCCAATAGCAAAACAAAATATTTGCATTTATAAATCTTTTACTCATAAAATAAGACACCTAGCTCAAAACTTTAAAAATGTTAAATCATACTACAATATATTCAGGCATTAAAAATCTGTAAAAAGCAGAGGATAATAATTGACAGGTTTATTTTAAAATAAGGGTATGAAAATGAGAAAGGGTTAAATTACTTGCTACAGAGGACAAACTGAAGTAGAAACAAAATAGCATTCATGATTTCAATATATGGCACTATTGCTTGTGTTCCATTTTACTGAATCAGTTTTAAAAATAAAGTATTTCTAAAAAATTATAATTCAAGATTTATTATTCCTCATAATTTATTTTTTCAGTCTACTATCCAGTTAGCTAGAGACAAATGAAGCACAATTTCTTCCAATATTTCTGTCTGCCATTTGAATGGGTAGAAGACATAATCTGCAGGTAAATCATGTCTAACTGGCTCACTTTACCTCTTCATGCCAATTCCAAACATATGGGTAAAAGCCAGAAAATGACAAAAAGCACAGAATACATGCCTAAGCATGTATTCATTGGACACATGGCTCACTTTACCTCTTCATGCCAATTCCAAACATATGGGTAAAAGCCAGAAAATGACAAAAGGCACAGAATACATGCCTAAGCATGTATTCATTGGACACATAGCCATTTTGCTTAACCAGTCAATCTTTGCATTTTGCCGTGCAAGTCAAGAATGAAAAGTAGCTACTCTTTATTTTCAGTGTGATTTTTTAACTTCTAATATTTGACACTCAAACAACTTAAAATTTGCTATCCTCTATCAACAAGAAGTAGACTTCAACTAATGGAAGGACAAAAAGCAACAGACACTGAGGATTCTTAAACTTTGAAGTCAGCCAAAAGAGAGGTTATAAAATCCCTCTCATGTCTCTGGATTGTTGTGTGGAACACAACAGAGTGAAGGTCAACAAGAAGTAGACTTCAACTAATGGAAGGACAAAAAGCAACAGACACTGAGGATTCTTATACTTTGAAGTCAGCCAAAAGAGAGGTTATAAAATCCCTCTCATGTCTCTGGATTGTTGTGTGGAACACAACAGAGTGAAGAACAAGATGACTACTGGAGATTTCCCCACTATGATTTTCCAGAAACAGTGTTTATGTCAAGATTGTATAAGTGCTATTCTAGAGCAGAGCAAAGGATAAGATGATTACCCGAGGTTCTTCCCCACTTTTCATGATTTTCCAGATATAACTAATTAAGAGCAATAATTATTCTTCATCATATACTTACTTTCTCCCATCTATAGATTGTGAATGTTATATAAATTATTAAATATACTAGATAAGAGTACAACTGTTCTCTGTTAGTGTTTAGCAGGCAGCCTAGTATACTGGGAACAGGCTTTAGAGTCAGATAAAATGGATTTGAATATTTCCTCTACCACTTACAACTGTATGACTTTAGTTGTACGTAAACATGATTAGCAAAGTATATGGAACATAGATGGTGCTCAATAAATATAACTTTCCCTTCAATAACAGAGTAAATAATAGCCAGTATATCCTATAACTTAATACACACACAGCTAGTTGGGTGAACATTTAGTTTCCTGTGGGAACGTGAAATATCACAATTTGCATAATAGTCTGAGATTATCAATGCCATAATATCTAAAAAATATTTACATAAAGAGTATTAGTAATACATGTTGAGATTTTTCAAAATGAATTCATGTCAGATATATCTATTATATAAACTGGAGAAAGATGGCATTTGACAGAGAGTAAAGGGCACAAGCATTTACTGAGTAACAACTGCATGCTAGGTTCAGTGTTAGGTACTCTCTATATTTTATCTCAACGTAATCACATGGCAATAAACAGAAATCAGTATAATTCTCAAAGTACTTCGGTTTCTCAAAGTAGACAAGCAGAATCATACTACATATTAAATCTAGCATATAATGTCTTTATTCCTTCACTTAGCATTTAATAGGCCTTAATAAGTGTTAAAGAGAAACCTACTTCTTTCCTGTGAATGCAACACACAAATGAAAATAGGTAATACCATCCTTTAACTATGTAGTAAAAAAGAATCATTTAAAAAATAGAATAAAATGTGAACTCACAGTGTAAATCCTCTGGAAATGACTTCAGTTTCTTGAATGAGACGTAAAGCTTTTCTTACAAGGTTAGTAAAAGCCCGGCTATTTGCTGCCATATCTTCCAAACGGATATTGTATTTTTTTAGGGTCATTTGTAGTTTGGCTGTTCTCCATAATCTCAAAGCTCTTATGATCAGATAAACAAACAGAATCACTCCCCACACCAGCCAGGAAGATAATGTCCACCAAGTGGGAAGCATAATGAGCAAACTAATGAAGGCAAATAGCATTGAGACATCCCTAGGAACAGAGAAACCAAGAAAGGATAAGATGCTTTATTCTCATAATGACATTTGAGTGACTATAGATTTGGAAAACATCAGACTTTGCTATCTGTTACAATATGAAGCAGTAGTCAGTGTGACAAGAAAAACAAATTGAGGACACTGAGGCCAATGAATGTAACTGTCTGTATAATTTAAACAGCTTGAGCAGTGATTCAGTGCATTTCTTGAGTCATTCTTCCCTTCTCTGTCAGGAAGAGGACATCAACAATTCTTTACATATAATCCCTTTTTTACAATTCATTCTTATTTATTTGTTTGTTTGTTTATGTATTTAGTTATTTATTTACAGATTATGACCTGGTATTAGACCCAAATACTTCAAGTTGAAACATTTTAGAATAGGTTTGAGTCATCAAACTATGTTTCCTAGTATCTCTTCTCAGCCAACATAGCAAGAATCAATTGTTTACCTCCATGTCCCATCCTATACTTGGTGTCTCTACAATGTGGTTATGATAAAATCTATTAATTATATAGAAACATAAAGAACAGGCTAGGTTTGCATGTACACATGTGTACAGAGAGAAATTCTTTTGGCACACAGTATATAATAATCAAATTGATTTTTTTCCAGCTTTATTTTAAATAATAGCTACTTTAGAAAGATACTTTTTTTTTTTTTTTTTACCTCTGGCATATCATTAAACCAATTGTAATGCTAAGTGTATGAAATATTTATAATGCCTTTACAATGGTCAGCATGATGAATTTCCTGTAATTCATATGTAAGCATTCAACGGATAAATGTTTCTGGATGGTACCAAATATTGGGAGCTGCCAGTAAGGTCTAGATCTTTTTTTTGTTCTGGGGTGGAAGCCCCCCAAAGCCAGGGCTGAACGTACATACCTCCCAAAACTTTTTTTTTTTTTTTTTACCTCTGGCATATCATTAAACCAATTGTAATGCTAAGTGTATGAAATATTTATAATGCCTTTACAATGGTCAGCATGATGAATTTCCTGTAATTCATATGTAAGCATTCAACGGATAAATGTTTCTGGATGGTACCAAATATTGGGAGCTGCCAGGGAGCAAAGTGTTGGAAGGTGTCCATTTTCCTGTTGTGGAGGTTGCCCTGCAGACAGGATACTGGGATCAAGCAGCTCAATCAGCTCCACATCCTCTTGTACCAAGACTTCCTGTTGCAGGATGGTATGTAGTGAGTCGAGTCGGAATCCAATATCCTTGCCATTAAAATACCAGAAGAGAGGTATTAATACATACATAATATTGTAGTAAATGCTAAGCTCTAAATGTACTAAGAAAATTTAGAAGTGTTTATTTTCAGTACAGACTCCAGGAAGAAGAAACAACAGTTCAATCTACCATCAGTATGATAGATGGGGTTTTACTTTCACTGTAAATGTGCAATAATAAAGATTGAGGTAGTCATGATTGAGTCACCAGATGTGAAATATAAATTTTTAATAACCAGATGTAAAGTAATTACAGATTAATAAACTTGTCTAGTTAAGCCTCATTAATTAAATTGCTAGGAAACAATGTAAAAACGTAATCCTACAACAAAGAAGATGTTATCCATGGATACTATAAAAATACAGCCAATATCTAAGAATTATATCAGCAGGATCAAGGCCTTCTAAAAATGGACATTCAAATATTAAAAAATACATCATTAAGGAATGTAATACAAAACCACACTAACATTTGCATAGCACTTTATAGTTTACAAAATGCCTTCACATATACCAGCTCATTTATTCCTTCCTCTCTTCCTTCTATCCGACTATCAAGGAATATCTTCTACAAGCCAGGCACCATGCTTGACACTGAAGACACAAAAAACAAACAAGACATTCAAGTCTCTACTCTTAAAGAGTTCATGGTTTAACAGAACTGAAAAGCTAACAGTTGCAATATAATGTGCAAAGGAGTACAATGAGGTATACCTAGGGTACTATGAAAATGGCACAGAGGGACCAAACATGAAATGAAGTCAGAGAAAGTAAAAGAGGTGAATCCTGAGCTAAGTCTTAAAGGATGAATAAGAATTGATAAGATGAAAGACTAGTGAGATGGGACAGGACAAAAGCCTTCTAATTTAGGGAAGTGTAAATTTAATCTGATATTAGCTGTGTGCACAGTGCACATAGTGGAGAGGTGAGAGATGAGGTAACAGTGTTAGGGCAGATAGGTTCAACCTCACGGTAACCCTGTGATGTCCATTATCATCCTCCTCTCCATTTTATCGAGGATAAAACCGAAGCCCAAAGAGATTAAATAACTTTTCAGAATTACAATTTCAAATCCTAAGCCTTTGGTAGTTGATTTTGCTTCCCTGAATATAGTCTGCCTCAACAGAAAATCTAAAGTTTTATTTTGTATTAAATTTGATAATAGAGTGATCCTATTATTTGATCAAAATAAGCGAACTTTTAATGGACAAGGCCTTTAGCGATTAAAGTAAAATCAGTGAGGCCTAGGGTCTGAAGGCAGTCGGTTTGCTTTTCTCAGTTAATCATTCCAACTCCACAGATTACAGCCCTGGCTGATCATAATGAGGACTGAAGTAGGAATGTGGAAATCCATATATTAAACTGAGTACATGACCTCTTGATCATGGTTATATGTCACTTTTAGAGAAGGAGAAGAATATTTTTAATATTAGGCCTATTTGGATATATTTTATTTATCTTCAATCTAAAAAGGGAACATCTTCTCAATGGAATATTTATCTTCCTTTTAGCCTGTTGTTATCTTCAATCTAAAAAGGGAACATCTTCTCAATGGAATATTTATCTTCCTTTTAGCCTGTTTTTTAGGCTTTTTTACCATCTACTGACACACTCTGCAGATAAGTCTGCAGCACTTTAATGTTTCATGTTTGAACAGTTGCCTCCTCTTCTCACAATCCTGATCCTAACATTAGAAACCGCTTAACTATTTGATGTCCCACCCCACTTTCATAAAGAAAGAACAGCAAAACTCACTTTATACTAATGACTGGGCAGGAGATGGAGCATGGTAGCTTTTCAAGTAATCTCTGAAATGAATCTTCACATATTGATCTTACCATTTGGTTTGGATTCTCCAGTTAGATACAGTCATATTCAAATACGAGTATTAGAAATCAAACTTTTGCTATAAAAGCTTTATGCCATACCTTTTATGAGACTTCTATGCACCTTTTATAGGTAAGTCTAAAGAAGCTTAACTAGATGAAGGATAAGGCTGTCAGAGAGGAGGATAACTATTAACGTACGATGGAGCTCTCCCTCTTCACAGATAGAGATTCTGCTTAATCAGTTACTCACTTTCTTCAACTTGGCATCAGACCCATCTGCAAAACTAGAATAACACCTCCCAACAACCAACACGATTAGAGGCAGTACTGATAGCTCTGGGAGTATTTCATTCAAGGGTGTGACAGACCAATAACCTACCATCATTTATACGTACAAATGAACTTGAAAGGAACAAAGACACTCCAAATAACTAAAGCAGTATAATCTTACTGATTAGATTGCCTCTATAAAGGAAAAATTTGAACTATATTCTAATAATTATAGTTGTTTAAATTGAATCAGATTAAATTAATGCATTGTTTCTTTCTTAAGGATAAATTATAAAAATTATATATTACTTTTTAATTATAAAAATAAGAACTGCAGAAAATATGGAAACTGTGTTATAATGTAGCAATCTAACTACTAGGAAAATGGACACCTGTCAAATTAAGAAACATGTCACAACAGACCCTGTTTGGACTGGGAAGCCTAGGTTCAAGATTCAAACAAATGAAAAAATTGAAACGGTACAATTCTGATAAATATTAGCAAGTATCATCTGTATAGTTAGGAGCTATGTGCTTGCTAGGAGGTGTACTAAGAGTATGTAAAATTTGGCTCACCCTCAATAAGTTTGAGTGCCAAGACTTGGTACCTAGGTTTATATCCTGGCTCCATAACTTAAGCAAGTTAATAACCTCTCTGTGCCAGTTTCCTCATCTGCAAAATGGGGATAATAATAGTACCTACTTCATAGGGTTGTTGTGAGGATTAAATAAGTCAACATATGTAAAATACTAAGAACAGTGTCTGGCACACAGTAAGCACTATATAAATGTTAGCTATTAGTGTTTTACTACACATGAACTAATTAAAACACAATAAGGAAAAGCACACACTGAATATAATACAATACAAAGAGTTACAGAACATAGCACAGATAATTATTACTAAATTGATGCAGAAAATAAGAGATCCAATAGGCTGAAGTTTTTGGGAAAGCCTTGAAGAAAAGATAGAACTGCTTACTGAAAAGACCCCAATAGATGGAGAGAAAAATGGAATGAATTCCACCACAGTATAATACCATAAACATAGACATACAGAATAAGTACAGAATAAAGGAAAAGGAAGACTGAGTTCACTGATAAAAAATACTGGTGGACAAAGCTGGAAAGGTAGGTTAGGGTCAACTTATGCAGACTCTTGAATGCCAAGGTGATAAATTTGGACTTGATTGGCTTGATAATGGAGATCTTCGTAGGATCTAAATAGAGAAGTGGCATGAGAAAGTAACTTAGGAAGATTTCTGCCTGGATGGAATGAAAAGCATATGAGAAGGCACAACTAAAGAATAAAGAGATTTCTATTTTTTTCCCATAGGGATGGAGAAGGGAACTTTTTCATGTGCCAATATACTTCAATGATCTTACACACTTCTTAATATATTGCTGTTTCATAAAGCTGATATGAGAATCAAATGAGGTAACATGTGTGAAAGCACTCTATAGGCTAAAAAGCGCTTAAAAACTGCTATTACCACTACCATCATTGTTGCTATAAAGGAATCTTTTTTATAATCTTTAAGAAAGTACTATAAACTGAACAATGTTCAGATATCATGGAGCAATTGCCAATATTTTTATAAAAAAGAAAGAGGGCCTGTCTGAATATCTGTATGGCTAACACAATTTAAAATACATCACAACCAAGTGGAAAAAGTCAAACAATCTCACACCAGAAGCTAACTGGGCAATTCCTTGTTCCATTACTAGTAAACTATTTCTTAGATATATATTCCTATAAATCCCCATAACACAGGCACGAAAGGGATGCAAACAGAAGCTGGAACTTTATAGTGAAACATGACATGAAACATGTGGCCAGTGATGAAGAACCGAGAATGAAAAGACCAGGCCTATGCAGACTATGATTAAACCACAGAAAAATGTATATGATCCATATACCTTACCACATTCCTAGTATCACTGTAGAATGAGATGGCTCCACCTGGATAAAGATGATATTCTACGTAGATGACAAGACACTTCATTGACCTTCTCAACACACCTTCTACAAAGATGAAACCCTGAACAGATAACTTGCCAATGTGGGTTGCTAAAAAAGTAATTTTAGTCAGTCAAAAAATAATAATCCTCAAGCAAGAGAGGTAGTATGTTATAGTGGAAAGAGCATGGGCTTTGAAACCAGGAGATCTGGGTTCAAATTCTGACTCTATCACTTTCTAGTTAAATAATATCACTTTCTGGTTGAATAATTCACTTAATAAATTATTAAACCAAACTGACCTGCCTAAAACTTGGCTTTCTCACTGCTAAAATATACTAAACCATACAATGTTGTTTGGATTACCAAATCAAAATGTGAAAGCACTTTGTAAACAATCTCTTCACAAATGTTAATTTACAAGAATGATAATTCTTAAGGTCACAGGCCAGCAGAGGATCCTGAAACCTGCTTACTTGTAATTTGATTACTCCTACTAGAAGCCATGAGAATGTTATAACGTGCATTTTTTACCTGTACTACCTGGATTTTGTATTGTTAAGGTATAAGAAGGTTAAAATATACCCCCTTGGGGTCAGGGGCCAAGCAACAAATATATTACAGCAGACATATGAAAAAAAAGAAAGCTTCACAGGAATCACAAAGACCCTCAATTTTGACTCTTTCAAATCTTTGGGAAATTCTGTGATTTATCAGCCCTATGAGATTGAACTGATACCACTAATAGACATATTTCCTTCCCTACTGAGAATACCTATCAATGGAGGAAGATGGTAGCAGTAAATTAGTAATCTAACAAATAAGGTTTCTATAACTACCAGAATACTCCATCCTAAGTGCCTAATAATCTCTTCCAAGAGCTATAAACAATACCAATAAGCCCAAATTAAAAGGTCCCCAATTATTGTGGAATTTCTAATAAAAATCAGTCACTGTCCAAATCAGTAGCAAAACAAATACTGATTCATCGATTCTCTCATTAATAAACTGGAGCCCTGAAAAATGACAAAAAGAAGTGAATACTTACCAACTTGTGAAGTAAGTCATCGCTCTCATTGCACTGAGAAAAAAAAATCCAATTTTTGACGGTTTGAGCCACTTTTAACAGGAAGCTTCGCTGAAGATGAATGACATTGTATAGGATTATTAAACCTCACCCAAACAGCAGAAAAACTTCAATATGTCTCATTCTCCTTATTAGTTCCCAAATTTAGTTATACATAAGAATCACCTGGAGATTTTAGTTAGAAACATTCCTGGGACCCCAAATTAAAGATTCTGATTCAATAGGTTTAGAGTGAGGCCTGGAAATCTGATTTTTAAAGAGCAGCCAGAAGTCATCCTGATGTAGCTCATTTATCTCAGGAACACTGTATACAGTACTATCTATGTCAACATGATGATGGTATTTATTTCAGAATGAAAACCATAGGGTACTCCAAGTTCTCAAATATTAAGACCGTTTCATTCCACCATACTAAGGCAAAAGATATTTTAATCATTTTAGAAAAACTGTCACATACTGAAATAAAAGTTATATTACTGAATCAACCAAAAATTCAATTTACCTTAATAGCCCATTCCCTGAGCATGCCATTAAATGGAATTTACATTTATTAAGTGATTATTATATCACAGGTACTGCAAAGGGTCATGGAAACAAAAATAAATATATATGACTGCTATTTTCAAGAACTTAATACAGAAGAACAGACGGTACAAATAATTACAAACCAAAGTAAAGTCTGGAAAAGTATGAGAAAAGAGGAGGTCAGAGAGGAACTAACACTGGAGCTAAGTCATAACTGATGAGTAGGAATGGAGAACACTCCAGGCAAGGGTTATTAGCAAAGGAGACAGACATAGAAGCACATGCCACAGGGATGGTAGCAGAGTCAGGAACAATTATGACCTGAGAAAAGAAGGGATTTGTAATGAAGTTTAAAAAGTACACTGAAATAGGTTTTAAAGGACTTTGGTCTTATAACCCATAATAGTTTAGACTTTATTCTGTAGGCTGTGATGAGCCACGGAAGGTTTTTATACAAGGAAGTGAAACAATAAAATCAGCATTAAAAAAAAGATAACTGTCAATAGTTTGGTGGTTGTACTGGCGGGGAATAACTGTAGGCTAGAAGCAAGATTAGGAGGATATTTAATAGTTCAGCTAAATAGTTACAAAGGCTTGAACTAGGTAATGAATGCAAAAATGGTAATGAATAAGGGTTAGATTTAAGAGACACAGAAGTTGACTTGATATATCATTTAGGGACCAAAGCAATGCAGGAGTGATGGGAAATGGTAAGATAAGTGACAGGACGGTGATTTGAGAATATATAAAGAATATGTTTTTTGTTTGTTTGTTCCGGGGGTGGCTGAGGAAAGCAGTCCTGTTTTGGACATGTTGAATCTGGGCTTCTTGGGGCACATTCAAGTGAAAATGTCTAACAAACATCTGGAACTTCACTGGACATAAGTGGCCAATGAAGGCAAGAAGGATGAGACCACTCAGAAGAACAGACCAAGCAGAGAAGAAGCCTGATGCCAAAACTTTATATAGGAAAGTATAAGAATAATCATAGGAGGGCTGGCCCCGTGGCGCACTCGGGAGAGTGCGGTGCTTGGGAGCGCAGCGGCGCTCCCGCGTGGGTTCGGATCCTATATAGGGATGGCAGGTGCATTCACTGGCTGAGCGCGGTGTGGGCAACACCAAGCCAAGGGTTGCGATCCCCTTACCGGTCACAAAAAAGACAAAAAAAAAAGAATAATCATAGGAAAGAAACTGGAAAAGAGAATGAACAGTCATGGTAGGGATACCAGGACAGACTACTCAATAAGTACTTTACAAGCACATAAAAAAACACAAGTTAAAAAAGAGAGGGCAATTAATGCTAATGACTGTTTCATCAAGAACTCATACTATTCAAAAAATCGCTTTCCAAAGAAAATAACTGATACTTCATTCCTTAAACAGAATTTTGGGGGGCAATTCTAAAAATATATTTCCTGAGAATGAACTAAATAATTTGACACATCTTTCTAAAATTTAGCAGCCCCCAGATTTAGAAAATAATCCAGTTTAAAAAATATATAGCTCAGTTAGAAATCTGCAATATAGTGCTCGCTTCAGCAGCCCATGTACTAAAATTAGAGATGTGCAATATGAAGATTAAACAAACTTTCTAGACTTGGTAATTTTTAAAAACATCCTCTGGTTATGCTTTTTATTGTTCCTCAATTTCTGAAAGGTTGAAATTTCAAAGTCTCCTTTGATTTACTTATAAACTAACAACAACAGTTCTATAAATGAAAAACTTTGTCAGAAATGATAAGGATGAAATACCTATAAAACCCAAGTTTGTACCAGAAAACAAAACAAAACAAAAATTAGAGGTCAATGCCCATCTCCTGACCCAAGACTATCCCTCAGCCATTCTTTGTTTTGTGTTGCCAAGTAATCTCACATCCAAGTTTTAATTCGTAATTAGCCTATTAGATACATCCTTAGGTTTGCTTCCAAAACCCTTCCTGGAACATTCATACTTGAAACAGGCAAGGGGAGTAAAAACTGATTTTAATCCATGTGAGCTAACTCTCCTAACTCCCACCTTCTGGGTGTTAGTCAAAAAAAAGTCTCTTGTGCTTACTTTGCTGCTATTAATGGGTCAGCTTGGCAACCCCACACTTTAGGTGTTTAATAAGAGTAGGAGAAGAGATCCTCTAGGTGTTTAAGACCAGGAGAAAAGATCGTTCTGCTGATCCATGTTTTTTCCTCCCTATCATAATAGAGTATGACTAATTGAAAACTTTAAATGCCTCCTCCCAAGAGTAATTGAGTCTTGTAATAAAACATTGATTAAACTAGAATGCTCAAGGAATGGGGTGATGTGGTTATATTTTTTTCGGTTAAGTTAGAATCCCTTTGGTTAAAACTGAAATGTTCTCATCACAAAGAAACGATAAATTTTTGTGATAATGAACTTGCTAACTACCCTGATGTGATCACTAAACATGTATTGAAATATAACTCCATACCCCAAAAATATGTAAAATCAATATGCTTCAATTAAAAAGAAAACTGAACCGAAGTGTGCTGGAATATTTTCTGATTTTAGTAGATATGGCGAATAGAACAGAAATGAATCTGGTAAATGCATTTTATAGAACATAATTAATGGGATTCTTCCAGTTTCTCAGCCTCACAATGCTGTACATCAACTATGAGATATTTACTATATAAAAGTATATAATACGTTAGATATAAAAGGCATCAATTTTGAGGTAAATGTTTAAGAAATGTCCATTTGTTTTCTTATAATTTGTGCTCTCTTTTTAAAAAAAAGACTTAAAGAAAAAAATTCCAATTAATAGGGGATTCTTATTTGTTGGGTTCTTGTAAGGTTTTAGTATATTTTTCTGGTTCCCTCTGGATAACTTCAATATTTAAGTAAATAATATATTTTAATTCTCAACCATATCCATTTCCTCACCTTATATAATTTACCACAAAATAGTCCAAAACAGCAAGGATTCATGTTTATCTAAATAGACAGTTTTGTACTACTGATGAAATAAAAATAAAGTCTTGCAGTGTGAGGAAGGACATGGAGGTGCTTATGAAGTGTTTTGTTTTGTTTGTGAGGGTAAGGGAAAAAGCAGCTTAAATAGTCAGTAAGGTAAAGATAAAGAATGAACATGCTTTCTTACTTTCGGCAGGATTCTTGTAGGAGTCCTTTGTTGTCCCTCTGTCGTTGTGCATTTTTCTGTTTTTGGTGACAAAAAAGAACATATTTCAAAGTCTGTGTGTCCCAGGTCCTGTAAGTACTGGTAAAGTGGAGAATTCTGAAAGAGACATATAAAATAAAGCAATTTCAAGATCACTTTTCAGCAAGTACCAGTAAGAAAAAAATGAATTTTATAAATAGATTAGTTAAGCACTTTCTTTGCCCAAATTTTTGTAGTCTTAGAGTAGACTGCTTCATAGCCGATATTTATAGCTTTTAGAAGAAATAGTTCCTAAGAGGATCTACAGTGAAAAATAGTTATTACTCGAAGCCATAAAGATTTAAACGATGATTGTATTAATTATAATGTTATCATACCATCATATTCATTAATTCATTCAAACACAAATACATATCATCTACCACATGCTCAGCACTGTAAGCAAAAACTCTTCAAGAGAGTTATCATAGTTAAGCTGTATCTGACACACAAGCACATGGCAAATGAGAAAATTGCTAATAAAAGCATTACAACACAGTGGTTAAGAATACAAACTCTGGAAACAAACTACATATAGATTCAAATCCCAACTCTGCCTTTTATTAGCTAAGCAACCTATGGCAATTTATAATCCTTCTATGCATCAGCTGTCTCATCTAAAAATAGGAATAACAACACTTAGTTCATAGAGTTCTTCTAAGAGCTAAATTAATATAAAGTATTTAGAACAGTTCCTGGCACAGAGTAAGCACACAATTTATACTTTAACTTTATATAAAATACATGGAATGAGCAAAGGTTTTGGAACAGACAAAAAAGGAAGAATCATCCCAACTCCGTCAAACAGAAATATCATTGCCACTATCAGATGCAAATCTATTGCACAACTCTTTCTAAATAAATAGCAAGATTTAATTTTAACTTTCAACCTTCTCTAAAGCACAAAGTTGATGACATGTTTAAAAATAAACCTTTATTTACATTCAAGGAAATATTTAAAGCTTCAAAAAGATTGTATGTTAAGGTGAGAAATATAATAACCCCAAAACCTCACAACACAGCTAACAAAAGTTCTACGTGGCAAAATCTTAAGTATTTTACTTGCATTATCTCTGTTAAGGTTCACAACAAACTCTAAGAGGTATTATTATGATCGTTATCATGGTTATTCCCATTCCACAGATGAGGAAACAGAATCACTCATCTGGAGAAAGCAGGAGAGACAAGATTGACTGACACATCTGACCCCAAAGCCAACTCTCTGAAATATTATACTATACTACCTAAAATAAAACACAGTCCCTGCTGTGTCTATTGAGAAAATACCGAAGAAGCTTACTTGTAGTTTAGTACGGAGACACCAAGCAAATCAACAATGACAGGAATGTATTGGATGCTATGGAAATAGACCAAGACTTTTAGGGAATATATCCTTGAGTTAGGAAGAATGCGGAAGAGTAGGAATTTGCTAGACTGGTAGCAGTTTGCTTGGCATCAATATAATAAAACAAAAATGGAGTCAAATACTTTCCTTTTAAGCTACGCTTAATCTTTGTTTGCTTGCGCCCCCCCAACCCCTGCCCCCAGCCTGGCCCCGTTTAATCTTTCTTTTAAGACAAATGCTAAAAAAATTATAAGGAGGAATATGTTTCTTATCCCTGTAACATTTAAAATCTCCGTGGGCATAAATGGTTTACCTTTATATTGCCCATAATGTACATTCAAATATTGCCTTGAATTATTCAACCTGTATTTTCAAATTGGACTGTGAACCCCACCCTATTCTGCCCCAGAGAGGAAAAAGAACAAGAAGGCTAGTTCATTTGTTTGGGCTGACCTTTTGAAAAGTTTACATACTTTAAAAAAAAACAAACTTGTTTTTAAGGCAATAGAAGCCGTTCTTTAAATGAACTCCCATGGGGAAGAACAATAAATAAGAGGGATCAAAGTGGAGTTACTCTAACTCAGCGCCAGCACATTTTTTCTGTAAAAGGCCAGATAGTAAATATTTGGGGCTTTGCAGGCCATATGGTCTCTGTCACAAGTGATTAAGTCTGGTGGTGTGAAAGTAGTCACAGACAATACATAAACCAATGAGTGTGGTTATGTCCCAATAAAACTTTACTTGTGCACTCCAAAATGTGAATTTCATATAATTTTCACGTGTCACAAAATACTCTTTTGATATTTTTTCAACCATTTAAGACATCAAAACCATTCTTTCCTCACCAGCCACACAAAAATGGTGGTGGTGGCAGCTGCGGGGGGAGTCAGGCCCAAGAGCTTTAATTTGCTGACCCCTCTTCTAGTTAAAGACTCAATGGCAATGAGGCAGCACACTCTTGACTGCTACCATTGTATTTCATATTTGCACTTTTCTATTTTAGCTATTAGTGCAAACCTCCCAACACCTATAAACCCAGATACTGTATGAACGCTAAAGCTCTATTCATTACATTTATGACAGCATTCTGAATGTTTGCATTTATTTTACTGTTTTATTTCTACTTTTATCCTTCAATCACTTTTCAACCAAAAAAAAAAAAAAAAGTAAAATTTAAGCAACAACACACAAATGGAAAACAAACACCACTTACGTTAACTAACTGAAGGTCAGCCAAGATGAACAGACCAAGATAGACCTTGTAGCACATGGGTAATTTTTAAGAATGCAGAGGAGATTTTTGATGAAATTATTACTTTACATTAATTATTTTAAAATGTTTGGTGATAAAATTATCATCACTTTCCTCTAAAACTGCCAAATAACCTGTGTATTTATTTCATAGATCTCAGAAAATCCCATCCTGACTAGTAGTTCTCAAATTTTTTGATCTCAAGTCCCCTTAGGGTCTTACAAATTATAGAGAGCCCCAAAAGGCTTTTGCTTATGCAAATATCTAATGACATTTATTGTACTAGAAATTAAAACTGAATACAATTTTAAATATTTATTATTTTACTTAAAAATAAGTAATTTTCTCTATTATGTTATAACATTTTTCCTTGGTTCAAGCAAAACAGAATCACAAATGTTTTAGTTAAGTTGTTTTTTGAAGAGATTTCAAACTATAATTTCAAAGTATTGAAGAATGTTACTGCAGCCAAAAGAAATATGAGAAACCTCAGACACAGCATGTGGGAGCTCCTCCTCAGGAAATCCTAGTGGTTCACTATTCCTGTAAATTTTAGCTGACAGAAAATACAAATCATAGCACCAGGAAGAATTTTGCTGGATAAAAAATAGCCAAGAGCCTTTTGGTGGTGCTAAGACTATTTGGGTGGCTGAAACATACTTCTGCAAGAAAAATAAACAAAAATAGACAGGAACCTCCAAAATTTTTGCTGAGCAAGCACTTAGAGAAAACGACTCATTCAAGTCCTACGCTACTGGCACTTCTTGCCCCTACACCGCATAAAGATATCAGACCCCACACTAATGGATACATAAAGTTTTAACCATTCACTTAGTGCAGAATTTGTTCTCAATGATCTATGATGTATTTTGTGGAAGTGCCAGTATCATTATTGCTGGTTTGCATTTTAAAATGAAGCCTAACCAGTTCAAAAATGGAGATGATGGGTAAAATGCTTTTATTATTAGCTTTACTCTTCTAAATTGCTTTAAACCTTTCTAGATAGAACAAGTAGTAGGTTTTCAGGTCTAGGGCCAGAGAGAAATACAAGGATATTTGAAAAATTTTGTGGAAAAATAGAATTAAAAGATAATACGACTACTTCATGAACTTTTTGAAGTATGCTTGTAGGCCAAAGATGGCAGAATTAGGCAATTCTTTCAATAACAAATACTTATTGATAACATCTTCTATGTGCCAGGCAACATTTACACAAGTGGATAAAACAAATCAAAACAGGAGAGATTTTTGCTAAGAAGTTTCATTCTATGATCATGGTTTATCAGGCTTTCAACATTACCGAGGAAAATACTGAGTGGTCTTGTACTTTCCAGGTAGGCTATGTTTCAGGAAAATCCTCTCTTGGTCTCAGCTTCCTTAAGCACAAAATAAGAATGATATGGGGCTTTTAAACTTGTTCAGGTGGTAAAATAAAACTTATGACACTCTCTGATAAACAAGATAAAAAAAAGTGGTGAGATAGGAAGTGTGTTTGGGTTTTAGGACACACCTCTGGGTTTCAAGCCGCTCCCCAAGGTCTCAGGCCCCTCTGCTAGGCCCTCCCCTAGACGAGAGTTACTATCACTTGTTGGACCTATTTTCAGCACCAACACGGAGAAATTGAGACCTCAGAGGGCTGACTTATGCAAATCCAGTGGCTGGCATGGTCAGTAGAAAGGAGTTATATAATCCTAGTAGCTGAGCATGCTCACTAAAGTGGAATTTACTATGAATATGTATTAAATAGTGAAACTTAAAAAAAATTTAAATCCCAGCAGAAGGCAGGGTTGTTGCTCACTTTCTTGGGGCCAATCTGCACTTCCCCAGCAGAGGTGTGTATGCTCTCTTTTTGTATCAAACTTACTTTCAGCAAACAGATGCTCACTCTCTTGAGCCAGCCTGCTCTTTGTGCTAAACTTCAAGTTTGTATTTCTATTTTGTATTAAACTTGGTGCGGGCCCTGCTCAGTCTCTGAAGCTAGGCCACACTCTGTCTATGAAATCTGTATCACTTATTCGTTATATTAAACCTGTTCTCACTTTCTACTGTGACTCGCCCTTGAATTCTTTCCTGTGGCAGAGTCAAGAACCTAGTAAAAGGACAGGATGGGTTGAGGCCTGCTGTCGGGCCTCCCCAGACCTTCTCCTCCAGCATTAGTGGTATGTTAAAATATGGAATTTTGTGCTAAATCAAATGCCATGTTATCCTATGCAATCATCAAATATGGAGATTCTACAGATCAAATTACCCAGTTTTTTCAACAAAATGACATAGTAAGGATGTAGGAGGTGGGGAAAATAGCTAAAGACTGAAGATACCTATCACCCAATGCAATGTATGGATCTTGTTTGGATCCTGAAGACACTTTTGATTCTCAAAGAAGTCCAAAATCAGACTAGGTATTAGATATTAGGGAATTATTATTAATATTGTTAGACAATTGTGATGGGGTTATCATTTAAAAAAAGACTACTTATCTGT